TTTATATATCATTTGCATTAAACTATTTTCTAATCATGCATTAATCAAGATCTTTGCAAATAATATGACTAAAAATTATTCAACAAATCACCAAATTATTTTTCACAATAAACCTCGACCGAGTGCGAAGTGATTCAAAATATGTTTGCAAATCCCTAAAAAACACCAACCCATACGAATTACAAATTGGGACTTTGATTCCTCATAAGAGGATACGTAGGCATACAATTAAAAATCGTAGCGAGTACCCCTATAAAAAATTTAAACCCTTTCTCCTAATTAAAATTTAAAATACTGTTTAACTCGAAACCTAAACCTAAAACCTAGTATCCTTGTGAACAGGGTAGATGAAAGGTGCCTAACACCTTCCTTTCGTCTAATGAAGTCCGAAACCTAGAATCTCTGTCTGTGAATTAGGGTTTTGTATTAGATTTCCTTCCCTAGGATAAAACCTAATAGTGTCGGCTTTGATTTAAAAACCAGTCGCAACATCGGTTTAGACTATCTTTGGCAGTATCACAAAGTAGTGAAGTTAATGATTGTTTATCCCGACTTTTGAGTCAATTGGACCCATATCTTCGTTTTATTCAGAAGATGATTTCTTTATAGGAATATAGAGCCCCTTGAGGTTTTAACTGAGTTCATATCCGACCTAAATAAAATATCATGGGTGTACACTTTAGGCCTCCCACGAGAGTAAGCGCCTGAATATCAGGTACACGGTTTTATGTTACTTTTGACTGACTCGTGAAATCAACAACGATATAGAGTAAATGCTCGGGTATCAGGTACCCAGTTTTTACGCTACTTTAATCATATGTGAAAGACTTCCCAGATAGTAAACATCTCGGAGCTATGTATTCGACTTTACATCACCTTAACCTGTCCTTATGGAAAGTTAGTCGTGGTGTCTCATATAAGAGCCCCAAGCCTTGTATGGGGGTCGGGGGTGATTATTCACTTATCTTGTTTACAAGCTAATGATCCCCTAGCCAAACTTGTTGAGTCTGGAGGTTACCCCAATGGATTTTATCTGTCCGGTTTAGAATATTCTTTGTCATTTAAGGCAAGTATTATTTTGCTGGTGGTTAATAAAGCCCCAGGTTTCATTAGATAATGGTCAAAGGTTTATTAACTTGATCGGACTTTAGGCATACCAACATAGCCAAAGAGTGGCGGTGTTTGATTGTTTTATGGTTCAGATTTTTATTACCGAGAGGTGGGGTTGGCCGACTTGGCCTTAATTCCATTTCGGCGTTGTGTTTAACTCTTTTGATGTAAGATTTCTCCTCTTATGCGAGGAGTATTTACTTGTAGAACTCGAATCTTTAATCGAGGAGTCTTTGGTATAAGGAGTGGTTAATCCCCCTTACTTTACAATCATGACGCCGGCCTCTGGGTTTTTGTACTTTTACTTGCCTTTTTGTGGTTCTTTGTAACCATTGCTTCTTACTTATCCGCATTTTAACTTGTATGTGTTGTTTTTGAAAATAATCCGGTATATGTACAAGTCCCTCGGATACAAAGTCCATCAGGCTGAATGTGTTCGATCATGTCGTGTCGGGTATTATCTTTACAAGTGTTCTTAATCACTTTCTATGTCGTTTAATGGGTACCATTTGAAATACGGTAATACCCGGTTTGACATTTTTAATGTTTTTATGAACTCGACTCTGATGAGGGGAATAAGTTTATAGAACTCGACCCTGATAAGGGGAGTAAGTTTATAGAACTCGACTCAGATGAGGGTAGTAATTTATAGAACTCGACCCATATGAGGGGAGTGATTTATAGAACTCGACCCTAATGGGGGGAGTAAGTTATAGAACTCGATCCTGATGAGGGGAGTACGTTATAGAACTTGACCCTGATGAGGGGAGTAAGTTATAGAACTTGACCCTGATGACAGGAGTAAGTTATAGAACTCAACCGTGATGAGGGGAGTAAGTTATAGAACTCGACCCTGATGAGGGGAATAAGTTATAGAACTCGACCCTTATGAGGGGAGTAAGTTATAGAACTCGATCCTAATGAGGGGAGTAAGTTATAGAACTCGACCCATATGAGGGAAGTAAGTTATAGAACTCGACCTAGATGCGAGGAGTAAGTTATAGAACTCGACCCTGATGAGGGGAGTATGTTTATGAACTCGACCCAGATGAGGGGAGTAAGTTTATAAAACTCGACCCAGATGAAGGGAGTAAGTTATAGAACTCGACCCTGATGAAGGGAGTATTTTGTAGAACTCGACCCTGATGAGAGGAGTATTGAAAGTTATTTTTGTGAGAGGCATGAAATGCGCCTCGACTTTTACCAGAACAGAGCCCCATTGTAAGGATTTGTCGGTAGGTCCAGAGCCTTAGCAAGGTTGAAGCTGAGTTGCGAGAGGCATAAAATGTGCTTCGACTTTTTGCCGGAACAGAGCCCTTTGTAAGGGTTAACCGAGTAGGTCCAGAGCCTTAGCGAGGTTGAAACCGAGTTGCGAGAGACATAAAATATGCTTCGACTTTTTGTCGGAATAGAGTCCCTTGTAAGGGTTGGCCAAGTAGGTCCAGAGCATTAGCAAGGTTGAAGCCGAGTTGCAAGAGGCATAAAGTGTGCTTCAACTTTTTGCCAGAATAGAGCCCCATTGTAAGAGTTGGCCGAGTAGGTCTAGAGCCTTAGCGAAGGTGAAGCCGAGTTTGCGAGAACGAGTGTTTATACTTGCACTATCCGACCACGACCGATTAAAGATTGTTTACATTTTATTCGAATCCCATCTAGTTTTTTTAGACTAATAAGAGTGAGGTGCCTCCCGCCCACACAGGGGAGATGGACGACACCTTTTAACTTCCTATAATAAATTTAAGTGAGATATTTTACAAATTGCAGAGACAATAGCTCGTCTTATACAACAATGTTGTTTAGCTAAAGCGTAAATTTGTGCTTTGTCCAACTTATGTCAGATTCTTATCCGAGCAAATTTGATCTACTTGTCAACTCATCATTTGTGCCATATCATGTGATATCTTGACCTCTTCGGTAGTATATAGCTTCTTTCGTAAACCACTTTACCTAGTCGTAATAATTTAGCCAAGGTGGAGGTCCCTCCCTTCCACGCAGGGAAAAAGGAGCGAAACCAATTTAAAAGTTAGATCTAAAGAGCTCTCTAATATAATTATAAGGGGCAAAAACCTTACTCGCCTTTTCACAACAAAATTAATTAATATAATACTTAACCAGAATGTTTATATGATCTCCAAACGTGAGGCCTTGTTGGAACAAGATGAAACACTTTAACTTAGAGCCATTCTAACTAATAAAAAAGACTTTGTTTCTCGTTTGTTTCGGAAATTCATAGTTCAAGATTTATTGTGTTTGACTCGTATTTTGATACCAATCATGTATTCCTAGCTTTTTCCGAAGCTAGGAAAGATAATGCTTGCATTGTATCCATTTCTAGAACTTCATTTAAGTACGTGTCTTTGAATCTGAGAAGCGTAAACCATGCTGAAATCTCAACAGGGTTGGGATTGATTCCTGTATTAAATCATAATCATCACCGATAATTTCTTGGGGTAAGTGGACATATTAAATTTGAATTATTATTTCTCACAAAGAGAAGTGTCTTACTCAATAAAATCTGGAGAGATACTACTAATTTGTTATCATACAGTAGCATATTATCAGAAGTGCCTCGGAAATATAAGGTTTGAAGCTCTAGATAAAGGCCTCCAATTGCAAGGGAAACTTTTAAGCTTAACATATTGATTAATAAATTTATGCATGCAAAGGTAAATTTCCATTTTGATAAGATAATTTCCCGTAGGAATGTGATAACTCCGAAAAGATAAACTATATGAAGCCCCCTAAAAAATGCGTCATTACTAGTTTTCTTTTCCCCTGAGCAGTATTATCTGTAACCCAAAAATAGATTAGAGACAAGCCAGTAGAAGGAATTTATGAATACTTATCTTTTGTTTTGCGGCATCTACTTGGACCGTTGAGTTACAATTGCATAAACTAGTCACCCAGATCAAAATCTCTTGAATCGCAGCGCACTGCTCGTAGGTGGATTCTCTACTCCAACATACGTCGTGTTTGGCTTCGTCCTGATATCAAGACTACAAGTCGTCCACATCAAACTATCGAGCAATCACCATATCACTGGGCAGTTGTTGTAACACTAAGTAGTTTCCTCAGAGCCGGTTAAGCATTTAAGCAACAATCACGCTACTATCGGTAACTGCTGCCAACGTTCTGACTTGATTCAGCCCCCGTTTTAAAGATCAAAGTCCAACGACTTTTATCGACGTTTTAATGATAATTAATGCCTAAACCGTAACGTTCGCGATAACCATAACAGTTCATTAATCGTTCAGCAAAGGTCATAACGTCTTGTGTAATTTTCATGACGGTCTGGCTGCTATTCACGGAAACTGAGGTCCATGGTGACCTCCTGTCATACCATGACAACTCCCATGCAGGATGCAAAACATGTGTAAGAATAGTTAATAAGAAATAAATGGGATAACTTATCTGAACCGGAGCCGTCGCTCTTGATGATCAAGCTTTTCTTGAATGGTAACAATAACCTTTATCAACGAAGCCGATGATACCCTTTTGACACATATCACCTGTTTTTATGTGACTTATTAACCAAATTAGTTAGTAGAGTCATGATGAATGTTAATCTAGAATTTAAGTAATAATATTTGTATCAAATCTCACGTAAAGATACAAGTAATCATCTCTCTATAAAGGCTATTGAATAAATATGTGTCGACTGTATCCGTTAATGTCTCAGCGTCGCCATATTCCCTTGCAAGCAATGTTGTTTTACTTAGACATATTATCAAATAGTTGGCAGTTGCAAATGTATGACTCATAAATATGCATTAACTATTGAAAGTAAAACGCCCAATTAATTTGAAGAGAAAACAACGTTACAGTCGGTTAGAGAAACCCTGTGGCTTCCTTACGGCCTAATCGATCAATGAGAGGAATAAGGATCGCCGACTTCAAAGGTCGCGGGGCGTATTTCTGTTGTTGCAATCGTCTTCATCGGCAATGATCGCCCCACCGGGAATAATTACCTCCTTGGTCATGATCACCTCATAGGGAACGATCCGGCCGCAACAACCTCGAAACTCGCCCATTTGTAAGATGCCATCCGTGCATCTTTGAGCGGAGTGGGACAACTCCGATTTCGACGAATCAGTAGCCAACCGGCTACAACTTGACATTAAAAGGGAAATTGACACCTCTTGAGACAGGAGGTGTGATCTACGGCGAGAGAGTGGAGGAGATTTGTGAAACGGGGTTAGCGCGTGTCTCCTGGTAATGCCAAACAGTGGAGGAGATCGTCGCATGTACCCGGTATACATTTGATAGAATTCATGTAAAGCGAACGATTCTCTCACTTGTAATACAACCACCTGAGGAGGAGATTCTAAGCTTTTTGGTTAATTGTATCTATGGGCGACTATTGGATGGTTTGGATATGGATTCAACATGAATCACCCAGGAGAAAGGTAGTTGTTGTATGGTTTTGGAAAGTTTTGGCAGGCTCCACTGTGGGTGTTAATGTTGTTGTGTAAAATAAATATTCGTGCAACTTTTTAGAAGGCAGTTAGGGAGAATTTATCGGAGTGACTTTATGAAATGATTGGGGGATTTGGTGTGCGTTCCAAAATGAATGTCTTACTTATCCCTCATGTGGGAGCCTCTATGTATAATGTATGGTACCTCTCTTGCGTATGTTGTAGAGGTAGGTAATGAGAGAGAAATAGAGAGATGTTGTAACCAAAGCTCTCTTTTTCCATTCACCAAGGACCCTTTTATATAGAAAATCCTTGGTCTAATGGTCATTAAGTTGTTCTATAACGTTTGTAACCGTCTCTTTAATGATTTCGTAACGCTTGTAACCGTCCCTTAATGACTCTGTAATGCTTATCTTATTATTAGGTCACGGTTACACCTCTTGTCCTCCTCGGGACCGGTTTCCTATAAATCGGCGGTGTTGTGTCGAGCTTATACCCGGCTGAACCTAATTAAGTAGTCAGCTCCGGTCCCTTAGGGACGACTTCGTACCTTATCATTTATCTGAGTTCATACCTCAACTTTAATACGAATATTTTTTGGGATGTACGTAACCTATAACTTATGAACATGAAATACTCCATAATCTCCAATAGTTACTAGCTAGCTTATGAACACAAGGGACAAATGATTCAGTGAATAACGTCTACAACCTAGTACAACATCATAATTCACACTTCATCGTTGAAAGAATACTTTGGATTGAAGAAAAATTGTGGCTCACTTCACCCCGAGGATATTTTCATGCATATGGTCACTTCGTGCAACAAGTAGAAAGGTTATCCAAAGTTTATCCTCGTCGATGTTGTTTCACCCCTCAAGGCGGCCCATATGTTTCCAGGCCAGGCCCGTTTTCCACCCCTAACTGCGTGACAGTTGACCCATGTGTTGGCACATGTTTCTGGCAAACAATCTCTAACCTCTTAATTAAAGGTTACTTGCAGGATCGGCTACAGAAATCCTAGATTTAGTGTTAAGTTTGGTATGATTTTGGTGTTTGGACTAGGTAAAAACTGAAATGTAAATGTAACAAGTAAAAACAAAGATAATTGTAAAATAAGGGCAAGATATAAAACAACTTTGAAACTTAAAGAGGTATAATGCTTTGAATTAAAATTGGATGCAATTTATACATTTTCTAGAACTCAATCGTTTATCTCAAACGTTTTGTACTTTGGGTATTTTTCTCACAACGTTACAAGATGTGACATTTAGATTTGAATATAAACTTTGCTTAAATAGATATAAAAATAATTGCTACCAAGACGATCGACCATTTGCAGCCTGCCACGTATCAAGTTCATGCGAAAAACTGCCTTTGACAACTTCCCTACGTTCTTGATAACCGTCTTTGCAAACTGCTTTATGTCAACTACCTGCGTGTTCGACTTGGCTTCAATGAGATCTTGACATAAAATTTAGCTAATTTCTTGAAGCCTTTCTTTGAGCCACTTGGTTAGCTCGACTGGAAGTTTAACTGAGTCTAAAACCTTTGATGCTGCTAAGTTCGACACCCCCCTTACAAAATCATCTCTTCGCCTAGTATCCTTTTATTTGGTCTTGTACTTCAAAAACTCTTGTCGTTATTGATGCCTTATTCGAAAATTCTTGGCTAACAAATTTCCTCCTAAAAGGCCAATTTCGAGTGAGAAATTTGGAGTTTTCTCTTCTATAAATTTTTGACAACTCATATGACTTAATGAAGTCACTAGAAATGATGGCGACTTTTTGTGTTTCAATTTCCAAAGACGCTTCATCACTTCTCATGGTTGCCTTTACTCCCTAGGTCGTGGGTTTTCAACAATTCCCACTAAGTTTCCCACTTTAAAGGAAATGGAACAGTTACCACAACTACCACTTGCTCACCATCAGTGGCTTCCACTTTGTCTATAAATACTCTTTTCTATCAGTTGAAAATATTCTTCTTCTACCTTCTTCTTCTTCGTTTTCCACAACACAAAACAACCCATTTTTTGCAACTCTCTCGTTCTTGTTTTTTCATGACAATGGCATCCCATTCTTTAACTCAAGTGAACACCGATAACAACCATGTGGATTCCGTTCTTACTAAAGAAGAAGGCTTACATAATATCCCTTAACCTCATTCTACTAATGCTTTCAAAGTAGCGAACTGCAAGAAACAAATGCTCATACCCTTCGTGGTAGTTGAGAAACTTTTCACATTCCATGGCCCATACCCAGATGCAAGGTCTCATCCTGAAAATGTTCAAAAATATGTTCCTTGTTTTTCTCCTACTTCGCCACCTGCTTACTAAAAACACCTTCTCAACGTGAAATTCATAAATCGCACCAGGATCTTTCGATCCATGCCTACTCCTGGTAACAAGGTTTGGCTGACGTGGCTTGACAAAGTACAGGAGAAAAAAGAAACTCAATAGAAAAAGGATGACATTTTGACGCCATTAAACTGTCAAGAACTACTCACAAGGTAAACCCTAGTATGGTTTTGTACATCCCATAATATTTTTATCAAAGTCGAGATGCAAACTCGGATAGAGAATGGAATACGGGCAGGGGGATTAGACCATTCTTAGAAATCAGATCCGACTACCCAACCAAGTCATAACTGAATATAAACTCAGATCCAGCTATACAGGTGAAAAGGCCGGGATATAGTCTCGGATCAATGAAACACACAAGCAGTCGGGTAAGGACGCAACCTAATTTACAAGAAGCCGGACCCAAGGAGATGAAGAGTTGTAACTGATGATTGATGACTTAACACTTATGGGATATGATGCAAGTGATTAATGGGCGGTTACAAACATTATGAAACTGCTTTATGGTCAAGGTTTACGCTATAAATAGGGGCTCTTGTAACACCCCAATTCTACCCCTCGTAATTAATAATAAAATCAGAGTTTCAAAATTTTATCCACACATAAATTGAGGTATCACATATTCGTGTTTTTCATCACTTTGCATTATAATGCACACCACAAAATCAAAAGTCAGATATACCGATTCATAATATAAATCATCATATAAACATATGACTAATCACAACACAGCGGATGTGTTCACGAAATGTACGTATCATCATGTTATCATCAATACATAAGGTCATAAGATAGTATACATAAACTATCCTATCAAAATAATAACGTCGCACAAATCCCGAGTGTTACTACTATCAGAGCAGAGTGACTCAAAATAAAGAGACTCGAGCTAATCCTCATCATCCTCGCGGATCACCTGCACGTTACCAATATAAAGGCAACGGTGAAACAAGTAAAGGGTGAGATACTCCAAAACATATAATTAAAGGCATGATAAAATATATAAATAGTTTTGGAATCATAAATGATATAGGTTAATAAGAATATGTCAACAAATATCAAATCTCACATACTTTAAAATCATCATTTAGTGTACAAGATCAACACTTTAATATCATCACATAATCACCATAATCATGTCAAAACAAGACATAAACTCCATTGCCATAAACTCATATCGTCGCTTTACCGTCATGTTATATCCATCGCATAATTTTCATGAAATTATCACATCATAATCACTTTATGTTCAACACAAAAATCATCACAAAACAAGGTATCATATAACATCGCAATTCATTATAAGCCATCAAATAAAACTCAACTCCAAAAGACTCAAAAATAAACATAACCGACTCCATGAGACACAACTGTGTTATGCATGTGGTACCCGTCGCTTTGTCCATAATTAGGGACATTTGGCATAAAAGTCCATCGTTGCTTTGGCATAAAAGCCCTCGTCGCTTGGCATAAAAGCCCTCGTCGCCAATGCAATGTATGTGACTCGACAACACGACACAACAAACACGACACAACAAAACATCATCATCGCACATCAAAATTGGTATAAAACTCATGTCGTCATATTCATCCACATCGAGATAAACATATCATCGCATCGCATATCACCAAGTATTCATTATAAATAAACTGTCGCAAACATCATATTTAATCACACCACATCATTATCAAATAATTCACTAAATTTCAAACACGGAAAAATAGTCAAACATCAATAATCGTTGCAAAAGTCATTCACAATAATCAGCATCAATTATAAACATTAACGTTGCAATCAGATTGTCCATACGCAACTTAAACCGACTAAAACGCAACCCGGTTCGACTTAACCGTAAATTGCCTTATTTCGGGTCGCTCTGTTAAAAACTCGTAATCTTGAAAAACTAACCTCACCACGACGTTCTACACGTCAAAATTAGCTAGCACGTCAATTTTCGTTAAATTCAGAGCAACTTACTTCATCGCTGAAATTGCCGAAATCGGGAAATCGGAACATAATCGGGTTCCAAATTAAATCGGATAACTTATGTCATATTTGTATTTAATTAATATAAATATTTAATATATTAAATTAAGAAAATAAAAACAAAACATAAATTAATTAATTTCTAAACTTACTTTCAATTTCTACTGCAAGTTCTGCTATACTGCATAATTTTTATTGCATACTGCTAGCTTATAAGTTAATAAGCTTTACTTTATGAATACTACTAGAACGTTGATTTTTTATACTGCATATTTAGTTTCTAACTTCATATAATATAATATAATATACTTAGCATAGTTCTAAACTATACTTACTGCCATTGCGTTTTTGTTCTTCTAAGGTATACTGCAAGTTTTAGTTTCTAACTTCATATAATATAATATACTTTAGCATAGTTCTAAACTATACTTACCGCCATTGCGTTTTTGTTCTTCTAAGGTATACTGCAAGTTTTAGTTTTTAGTTATAACTTAACTTA